CTTTTGATCAAAACTGAACAAACAGAACATTTACAAAATATAGATAATCATCTTCCAATTTCACGCAGGACTATGTATGCGAGTTCGCCTGTCCGTTTGGTTGTTCTGAAAACACCGTTTACAACTTATGACATTAACGTGTTGACACTTGCAGCCTTGTTCGCTTATCACACCTTGCAATCGTGTTTTAACAACAGTGATTAAGGGCACAATGCAACACATTTTCGACAATATTTTGGCCTCTATTATATATATTGGGGCATATACACTCACTTTAGCTTCCTATTTATGCAACAAAAGACTTATTATCCCTTACGACTTGCCTAAAATCGATAATTGAAACTTCCAGGCAGACAGCTTCCAAAGAGAGATCACTTGCCATATATGGAATGTAAACAATTGCTCCGTACATCGAAAACTGTCGCACGCGGTGTTTGCCGAACTGGTTTCAATCACAAGTTGTGTTATAGGGTATTCTTAAAGAGCGTTCCGAGGGACTTAACTGTATGGGGTTCGCTTGAAATAAAGAAGAGGGCGCGAGAGTCGATTTAATGCGTTGGATCAGGGAGACTCTATAAGGGGGAGTGGTCACTCCTCGGAAAGCTCCTAAGCTATGCCTCGGCTCGTCACGTGACCAGTGCAGCCAATATGGCGGCAGCGTAGTTTTTAAGATTGAGCCCGGTTTATTTTCAACAGCTGATTACATACGCTGAGTGTTGTGACAACTGAAAACCTACATGTAGAAGATAAGTTACCTATTCTGTCACTTCATTTTAAGTCAAATACTTGTTATTAGTGTCAGTATAAGTACAGTAGCTTTGTAGTAAAGTTTCAAGTGGGCATGTTGTAGCTCACTGGCTTCAATTCTCAGTACACAGCGAAGAAAGACTAACTTATATCGCTAAAAACTTCTTTCACATATTCGTTTAATTTTAGAAGGGAAATATACCTTTGTTAAAAGGTGTTTTGCAAGTAATAGTGATATTTTTATAACTAAAAAAATTTGTTAGGGTGTATTTGAGGTGTGTGAAAATATGACATATCGCCGATCTGCCATTGAAATACTACAGGGCGTTGTTTGAGTGTTTCTAGTTAGTGTTCAAAAACATCTTTCACATACACCTTCAATTTTTATGAGGGGAATATACCATCAGGTGAAAGGTGTTTGCAAGTAATAGTGATAGTTTTATAATTTAAAAAATTGTTAGTGTGTATTTGAGGTGTGTAAAAATATGACATATCGCCGATCTTCCATTGAAATACTACAGGGCGTTGTTTGAGTGTTTCTAGTTAGTGTTCAAAAACATCTTTCACATACACCTTCAATTTTTATGAGGGAATATACCATCAGGTGAAAGGTGTTTGTAAGTAATAGTAATAGTTTTATAATTTTTAAAAAATGTTAGTGTATTTTGAGGTGTGTGAAAAATATGACATATCGCCGATCTGCCATTGAAATACTACAGGGCGTTGTTTGAGTGTTTCTAGTTATTGTTCTAAAACATCTTTCACATACACCTTTAATTTTTGAGAGGGAATATACCATCAGGTGAAAGTTTTTTGCAAGTAATAGTGATAGTTTTATTTATTTTTTTTTAGTGTGTATTTTGAGGTGTGTGAAAATATGACATATCGCCGATCTGTTCTGATACGCCATTGGTGCTTGTGATGCTTGAGTGTTATAGTTCTAAAACTTCTTTCTTTCTTGTTGATCTTAGTATGTGACAAAACTGGAAAGGTGTTTGCAAGGCTTTGTGATAGTTCTAAACTTTCTGTTCTTGAGGGGTCTGTGACAGTGTCAGTTAACATTCTGTCAATGCCCATGTCATTCCACACACGTGCAATAAGATATCTGAATTAGTTACTAATGTAAAAATGTCTCAAAGTAGATTTTTATAAAAAGGACAGCTGATGTTAACATGTGTTCTACCGGATAGTTTTGCGTTCTTTAACATGTTTGGGGAGGGATGGCCGTGTGGTGTATCATTTATTCTTTCATTCATTCACATATGTTCTTTTCCTTTTGTTCCTTTTCTTAATTTCTTTCATTCATTCACATAAAATTCTTGCTCTTAATTCATTCATTCATTGTAAAATTCCGACCTATACAATACACTGGCTGAAGTACTGTTAAACGCAGCCGAAGTTGCGCTGGGACCGAACCAAGTCACTGTGTGCGTTGGAGCATGACGAGGCACACGTTAATTAGTACAAATGGTAAAGAAAGCAAGCGAGTGACTTATCCCTGTTGTAGAGTATCCCTGGTTGGATACTCGTCAAGAGAGCTCCAAGGGACATAACTGTATGGGCTTTGCCTGAAATAATGTTTGGCCGGTAGAGGGCGCGAGAGTCGATTCAATGCAACATTGCATTAAATTCATTCGAACTTTTCATTCGAACGTATTTTTTTAAAATAAATTATATGGTAGCCTCCCTGAGGGCTGATAGTATTAATGAGAGAAATACATTAGAGAAGTGTAGTGTGATTTAGTGCCTTTAGGTAGCCGCACTACCTAAATCACAGAATATCAGAGAGATAGAACAAGCTTCATCTATAAACGGAGAGAAAACATGAAAAATAGAACTTTTCAACGACTAATTTCATGGCGAGCGCTCAGTTATTTAAAGTCCATAACACATCTTACAATACAGTCGAATACAGCCGACTGAATCCAACTTTAAGAACTGTGGTCAGGATAGGTGACGAGAGCCCTTTCTGTGCCACACCGGTCGCAGTCTTTCAAAAAGAGCTTCTAAAAAACGCGCTGTTCACTGCCTTTGATTTTGACGGAGGGTCCGTCCGCAAAAACGAAGCGTCAATAAAATGTTCAAAAAGTACTCCACTAGGGGACCGTTCATAATTTATGGCAAGTGGTGAGGTGAGGTGAAATTGGGTTTAACGTCGTGCTTGAGAATATTTCGCTCATATGACGACGTGCATGCGTGTGTATGTGTATGTGCGGCTTCTTGTACTAGCCCAGACTTAAACTGGTTTTATAGTGCTAGCCCACTGAGATACCATGCCGCAGTGAAGCATGAATACCCCACTCAGACACAGTATACTGACTCCGAGCCGACCAGTCCTTGTTGTACCCATTAATGCCGAGCGTCAGACAGGGACCAACAAGTACCAAGTCTTTTGGTATGACGCGGTCGGGGGTATCGAACCCGCGACCTTCCGCTCTGCGGGCGGACGCTCTAACCACTACACCACGGAGGCGGTCTATGGCAAGTGGGGTGATGATGATATTTATGTAGAAGCATGTACAATGTGAATGACCCCCTACCCCCTAAAACGTATAGGGGAAGTGATATATAATTATAACCATAACCGGAAGTACTATTCACTGTCTATTCACCCAGACAACGGAAACGTTAATCTTACGGACTATGTATATAAATTAATACGAGAAAACTCTGCTAAACCCACTGTCCCTCCCCTACTATATCGTGATCATATGTCAAAGAATCATTATCAAATTGTGTTTGTGAAAAGGTGAAATTACTATTGGACTGAAAAAACCCACATACATATGAGTCATGTCAAATAATAAAATATGTCAAATTAGGAATAACACCATATACTATTGAAGCCATTACGGCGAGATTGATTATATCCGAGCTTAATTGTACACTCGCTGTTATTTATTGAAACAAACGCAAAAGTGTAGCACTTTATGATGTGACCGCCTCAATGGTGTAGTGCTTAGAGCGTCCGCCCGGAGAGCGGAAGGTCGCGGGTTCGAAACCCGACCGCGTCATACCAAAAGACGTTAAAATATGGTACTTGTTGGCCCCTGTCAGACGCTCGGCATTAATGGGTACAACAAGGACTGGTCGGCTCGGAGTCAGTATACTGTGTCTGAGTGGGGTATTCATGCTTCACTGCGGCATGGTATCTCAGTGGGCTAGCACTATAAAACCAGCTTCAGTCTGGGCTAGTACAAGCAGCCGCACATACACATACACACGCATGCACGTCGTCATATGAGCGAAATATTCTCAAGCACGACGTTAAACCCAATTTCACCTCACCTCACCTTTATGATGTACTGATGTCCTGCAACATGTTTGGGATGAACAAAACCCATAACTGGTTGTGTTCTCAAACGGGGTTAAAGTATTGTCAAATTATTTTCCTACTGAGAGGGTACGTAAGTCCCGAAACATTCAACGGAAATTTAAATGTACCAGATTTTTAAAACGTTGTATTTTTGTTATTTTAGTTTTGGCTAAATTTGATCACAATCGCCAACTGCTGAAGGGTTGATATAAATCCAGCTAGGGTCCATGCAGATAGCCAAAGTCTATAAGTCCCCATGGTCCCTAGTATGGTGATCAGCCTTCAGTTGCTGTTGATCTCCCCGTTCTTATTGGTTGTCTATGGTGATATATTGTTAATACTAGTTTTAAATTAAGAGTTGTGATAATCTAGTAGTTTTACTGTCCTTCGATGACAGGATTTTTATGTTCTAAATTTATTGATTTTAATATTGATACAAATTAAATTGTTCTCGCCACGATATGGCTGAAATATTGACGATGTGATAAATATTAACTCACTCACTCGCTGTAACTGTGTAGTGATATAACATTTATACAGTGTGTATACAGTGTGTATACATAACATGTCAGTTTCGTGTTTGTTTACAAAAGATATTCTTTCGCAATTGTCATGCATAATACAATTTTTAAAGATATGGGCTCGTCACATTCGGTCATATTTATGTCCTTTATAATCATCTTCTCAAATCTTCTTTGAAAGCTGACCCGTATTAGTTTGTCTCTCAGGCACAGAAATAATTATTTAAAAAGAAGTCCAACTTAACTCCACAATGATTTGGAATGTTTAGATTTTTCACCTGAAATTAGGTATTGACCCCAGTTTGGATTGATTATATTTATCCTGCCCTCACCATGGTACACGTCACATATGCAAACACTTCCAGACACTTCCAGACACGTCCAGCCTTTAAGGTAAACAAGCACCAATACAGGCCAAGGACGCGGAACACTATCTCCATATGATCTCAGAGACACGCTGACTTACATAACCTTATCAGTTACCTCGGATTGTAATGGTGAACATATAAATTCTTCTCCGAACATGTTGGCGATAGTGCTTTCGTTTCTGTTTGTTGGTGAGTACTGTTCAACCACTTGCGATAATATTGGCATATATAATTGTACTCGTGAAGATCCGGGATAAAACTGGTCTTCAGTAACCCATGCTTGTCGTAAGAGGCGACTAACGGGATCAGCTGGTCAGGTTCGCTGGTTTGATTTGATTTAATTATGTCATCATATAGGTCGGCGTAAAACTAAACTCACTCACTCACCCCATAAACACATCGGGAACCTATGCAGTTTGAATCCCATGTCACACCGATCATGTTCCCACGTTCGCGACCAACATGCCGTGCTCATGGGTCCCACTAAAGTGGTAAAACCCGTGAAGATCCAGGTTAGAATTGATGTTCAGTAACCCATCATTGTCTTAAGATGGGATGGTCTGGCTCGCTGACTTGGTTGACACATGAAATCGTATCCCATTTGCGTAGAACGATGCTCATGCTGTTGATCACTGTAGGTCCAGACTCGATTGTTTACAGACCGCCACCATATAGCCGGAATGTTGTTGAGTGCAACAAACAACAAACAACAAACAAACATGCACATTTTCAAAGGCAAAATTCAAATAACATACAGCTGGATGTAACTGTCAAACACTACGGCCATGGCGGACTGATCATATCGAAAATTGAACAGACCATCTATAGGAACACCGGAAGGTAGGTGGTTCGATGCCGGCCCCTTCAAAACCCTGGCAAAAGAGTTTCCTTGTTATCCTGCCTGGGGTTAGGCATTAATGGGATGAAGCAAATCATTATCTGATCGGATTCACTGTCTGGGTGGGGTGTTCATGTACAGGTGCGGTTTAGCGTTACATCTATAAGCATTACGTGCATGTACAGGCGCAAGAAACTTCCCCCTGGTCAGGGCAGTACCGTCAGAGGCGCCGGATATCAGTGCACAGAGTCCCTTGTAGTTTTCCAGCCTCGGATTTACCCTGATCGTGATCATTATTCAGTCAGCTGGATCCCGCTTCTCATTGTGTGGAGTTGACACACCGCCCGGACTGTCGTGTATTTCCTCTTGGCCTCGGGTGTATTAGGTGCACAATTTATTAACGAAGAACCATATCTCGGAACGACATATAGGTGTCAAGACACAGGGTTAAACTGACAGACAACAGTGCCCTACTGGAGGCATTCCTTGCGTGTATTAGCGGACAGAGTTATAGCAAACGCACTTCATCTGATCAGTCACAAAGCCTCCTTGTAAACTACTTGTGTACACACCTAGCACCACCTCTACAACCGTCATATGGCTGGAATATTGCTGAAACGACAAACCAAAACCACTACAGCATTACTTCAGTTGCTGGCGATCAATAGCCATATATGTCATCGTTGCCAAATGGACAGTTTTAATGTTCTATGACAAGTTTTAAATCTTTGATTGTTGTTATTTTACCCTTCAAGGATGGTGAAAATCTAGCTAGGTTCCATGCAGGTAGCAACGATCCTTTATGTCCCAATGGTATGTCCACCAAAGGTATTGCTATCTACATTTAAGTACTGACGATCTATTCCCGTTTATTGTGTTCATCATTTGCTCCATTAACTGCTATCAACTAGGTTCCTTCTTCCTTCTCTCATAGCCCCACATGGGTACAATGTGTGAAGACCACAATCCGAAACATGAGTCTCATTAACCAATTCAGACAATGACCTACTTTTCAGCCGATCCGAATTTTCTCGTCTGAAAGTGAAAAGAGACACTGAATTCCAATTTCTTGTTTCATAAGAAAATGGTATTTACAAGTTGGTTTCAATTGTAAACTTTAATAGCATCGTATTTCTATATTTTATGGCAAGGTGTAGGCAGCATGACCTTAACTAAGACGTCACAGACTGCTCCTGTTTGATGAGGTCGTAAAATGATTGACAAGTCATCTGGCTCACTGGTTACACCTGTTATGCGTTCTGTGTGCTTATTCAGTGTAGTATTGTAACGCACAATGTGATTGATATAATATCAATTCCGTACCAGACCGCCAAACTTTTCTAGCGGCAGAGCCTCGTTTTGAGATTTCCACGATTTCCAGATTTCCGTTTGTCAGAGCACGCTGTACGACAGAGCACGCTGCACAACGTGTTTGCAAGGATTAGAAGGAGCGTAGTGTTGCAATATACAAGTGGTTAGATGTATCAAACAATACTGATTAATATTTATGTATCCAGTTGAAAGAATTGGTCTCAAAATTCTGGACTGGTTATTGTACTAAGTTGCGCAATAGGACGGAACCCAGTCAGCAGGAAACGAGTCTGTTGTGTAATCAATGTTTTGAATTGTGCTGGTGTCCCCTCCGTGATATTGCTGGAATATTGCTAAATGCGGCGTAAAACTATACTCACTCACTCATTCTCTCACAGCCTCAGTATCCTGCCAGGGTGGACGACCAAAGCCTGCCAATGTGACAGGTCCTGTCTTCGATGCAGCCAACTTTGCCTGCAATGAAATCAACGACCAGAGCAACTCGGAAGACTGGTTCACGCTTCTTCACGCCGGCAATGCCACATCACAGGTAGAGACTATATTTGACCCCTTTAATCCCCAGCTTTGTTGACTCCAAAACACGCATCCTAATACCGCACATTAATTGAGTGGACTTTGTATGGACACAAAGGGCGCAAGTAGGTCTGCGTCCCAAAGACCTGAGATCGCTGGTTTAAATTTGTCCTGAATATTCATAGATGGCTTATCAGAGCCAAACTCTTCTCGTAGGTGTCCGCAAAAAGGTAAGTGTCTAACTTTGTATGTCACGTTGATTAAACTGCATGGCTATAAGACAGCGTTGGTAATACTCATTTATCCTATCACCAACTTGGCTCACCTTAAAGGCACAATGTCACGCTTTTTTGACAATATTTTGGTCGATAATATATATACTCTCCCAAAAAAAGAAACGCATATAGGAATTTCAACTGTCTTTTTATGCTTATTTTGAAACATCTTGTAGGCTTTATGAGTCAATGAAATATAGCGACATTGGACACTGGGAATGCAGACTTATCCGTCTTAGGCACCAACTCGAGGAAAGTCAGTTTGAGTGTCACATGGAGACGTGTGGTGGCGCTGAAGTCAATACCTCGTGTGACCACCGTGGGCATCCAGAACTGCACGGCATCGCATCGGCATCGAACGAATAAGTCTCAGAATCTCGTGTTGCCCAATCGCAGCCCACTCTGCCTGTAGTGCCTGTGCGAGTTGCTGAAATGTCTGGGGCTGAGGGTTACGGCGTCGCACCCGTCTGTCCAGGGCATCCCATAGATGTTCGATCGGGTTTAAGTCCGGTGATCTTGAGTGCCAGGGGAGCACATTAATGTTGTGGTTCTGGAGGAAGTCTTTAGTGTAACGTGCTGTGTGGGGCCTGGCATTGTCCTGTTGAAACAACTCCCTCTGGCGATCAATGATTGGAAGGAGGTGTGGGCGTAGGATTTTGTCACAGGACCGTTGAGCTGTCAGGTTGCCCTGGATCATCACCAAATCACTTCTCCTACGGCAGGTGATCGCTCCCCACATCATAACACTGACCCGGCCGAATCTGTCCACCTGGGGAACGCAAGCGTCGGCGAAACGTTCACGTCGACGTCTGTACACCCGCATTCTTCCATCGCGTCGTTCCAATAGAAATCGTGATTCATCACTGAACCAGATTCTACGCCAATTCGGTAGGTTCCAGGCCTGAACGTTGGTGCACCATTGAACTCGATGTCGACGATGTTGTTGTCGAAGCACAGGGCCAAAATAAGGTCTTCTGGCACGTAAACCAGCCCCTCTCAACCTGTTCTTGACGGTCTGTGCATAAAGCCTCCTCAATCCGGGTATTTGTCGAGCGGTACTGGTCGCCGTAGCTGTTCGATGACGCAGGTGAAGTACCCGGATGTAGCGATCCTGCGCGCAGTGGTCGCTCGAGGTCGCCCACTACGAGGGGCATCTGCTACCGCATTCTGCCGGCGATATCTCTCCCAGAGCCGTGAAATGGTGCTTAGGTGAACATTCATGCGTCGGGCAACTGCACGTTGAGACTGGCCAGCTTCAAGCAAACCAATGGCGATATGACGGTTGGCTTCACTTAGACGTGGCATTTTGCGTTCGTCAACAATATCCCAAATACAGTGAATAATCGACAGACAGCAATCAACCTTTTATACCCATCATTGAGACTATCTGATCCCCAACTTTCACGTGCATTGCATGTGAATTGTGTATTCTGTGACACTACACGCCGAAATTGAAAATCATGCTGTTAAATACGGGTATTTTACGGATGGTGCGTTTTGTTGTGATGTTTCAAAACATAAACACCATAGGACTCATAAACAGAGCAAAACCTTTTGTAAAATGAATCATGTTTTAATTCATTGCTATATGAAATTGCCATTTTCATGATGCGTTTCTTTTTTGGGAGAGTATATATTGGGGCATATGTACTCACTTTAGCTTCCTATTGATACAATAAAAGACTTATTATCCCTTACGACTTGGCTGAAATCGATAATTGAAACATCGAGGCGAACAGCTTCCAAACTGATAACACTTGCCATATATGGAATGTAAACGATGCTCCGTACATCGAAACCTGTCGCACACGGTGTTTGCCGAACTGGCCTCAATCACAAGTTGCGTTATAGGGTATTCTTAAAGAGCGTTCCAAGGGACATAACTGTATGGGGTTCGCTTGAAATAAAGAAGAGGGCGCGAGAGTCGATTTAATGCAACGTTGCATTAATTAATTCGAACTTTTTAATTTCATATTGTAGTCTTAATGCGTAATTTTGTTCGGAATAAATTATATGGTTGCTTCGCTGGGGGGCTGACAGTTAGTATTAATGAAAGAAATGCAATATTGAATTTTAGAGAAGTGTGGCGTGATAGTGTGCCTTTAAAGATAAATCCGTTTAGTTGCTTTCTTGCGTTGAACGGAAATACTGCTGTGGTTGATTATCAGTTCAGCTAAATTGTATGTTGTTGGTTTGTTCAACCTTTACTGATGGGTCACTAGTGCAGTGATACGAAGCATAGGCCCCCACTGCGGGTCAGAAAATCGATAAACTAGGCCCCGGTTTAGTATCCACACCCCTTACTATATAATATGTAAAGGTTCATCACAGAAATGCGGTGACATGATCGAAAACCGGACAATTACGCACACGTCAATGAATATATCGTATTTTAAAGGTGTCACAAATATCAAAAGCTCTTGTTTATATCTCTGATGTGTGTAGGAGGCATGTACATGCGCTTTCCGCGGGGATGCATTTGATGGTTTTTATCAAATCGCCAAAGACCGAGACCGGAAGTATACAAAAATAGGACGTCAGCGCTTGACTTCACTACCTCCGGCAATCTGATTGGCTAACACATTACACTGAATGAATGGATTTTTCTTTAAAAAATAATAATGTTTATTCGTTTTTAAAATTATTCTTACCATGATAAAACATCAGATAGTGACATGTTGGATGACAGACGTTTGAGTTTCCCTCTCATTTTCGCACGTGCATTTACTGTCATTTTATTAACCAATTTGCTGGCGCTGGCGACCTAGTTTTGTATACTTCCGGCACAGCAACTCGGTCTTTGGCGATTTGATTAAAACCATCAAATGCATCCCCACGGAAAACGCATGTATATGCCTCCTACACACATCAGAGATATGGACAAAAGCTTTTGATATTTGTGAGACCTTGCAAATACGATAAAGTCATCGACGTGTGCGTAATTGTCCGGTTTTCGATCATGTCACCGTATTTCTGTGATGAATCTTTACATATTATATAGTAAGGGGTGTGGATACTAAACCGGGGCCTAGTTTATCGATTTTCTGACCCGCAGTGGGGGCCTATGATACGAAGCGCTTGATACGTTAAGTAAAATAGAAAGACAGTTTTTTCAGCATGTAGGTCAGTACAGTATAGTTCAACGTTAACGTGGGACATGCAGATCAGCGTGATCTTTAACATAGAACAATATAATCTTCTCAGTGTTTTGTGACTACATTACTTACTAACATGGAGGAATTCCATTCGTAACTAGTCGCCTCTTTCCGTGACCGACAAGACACGAGTAGTTACGAACGGGAGGAATTCAACAAATGTGTCATTAACTGATTGTGTTTGCGTGTGACATGGATGTGTGAAGACCATCTTGTTGATTTCCGGTGGTCAATGGGGAAATATTCCGTATGGACCTGACCATGGGGGAATCTGCCTGCCAAAACACGCCTCTCAACCACAACGCCACGCCATTCGACTGTCCAGTGCCGAAGGCAGCAATGGTAGGAACTACTGTATTTTAGAACCGTCTTAGGCAAAAATAATTTCTAATTCACTGGTTCTATTATCTACATATTTGTGTCGAAATATCGGCATCGATCTTCGCAAGTGGGATGCGATGACATGTGTAAGCCATGTCCTGACCACTTGATCCCGTTACTCGCCTCTTACGACAAGCATGGATCTTCACGGGTTGATTTTTATACAGGGCTTACTGTGTCTGTTGTTCTGTCTGTAGATCTGGAAATACGGGGTGGAGGTTCTCTTCGTCCACTGGCAGTCCCCGGAGTTTACTCTGCTAGACTTTCACCAAGAAACAAGCCATGGGTACTAAGAAAGCAATACCCCGTTTTGTCATTATTGCATAAAACTATTATAGTGTTGTTGTTTGTCATTATTTGTTTGAAGATTTATTTGATAATCGTATTTTCCAAATTGAAAATCATTAGATCAATTAATAATGACAACAATGACAAACTATTATATGTGAACACACAGTTTAAGAGTGAGTTGAAAAGAGTGATGTCATGACTGAAATGCGTGGCAGCCCTTGAACAGATTTTAGTGCACGCACAAATATTAAGGTTACTGCCACTGTTGGATGTTTTGAAAGACTGACTGAGTTTGGTTTTACGCCGCTTTTAGCAATATTCCAGCAACATCACGGCGGGGGACACCAGAAATGGGCTTCACACATTGTACCCATGTGGGGATTCGAATCCGGGTCTTCGGCGTGACGAGCCAACGCTTTAACCATTAGGCCACCCAACCGCCCCTGTTTTGAAAGAGGCCAGACTGTTGTTGAATCAGGAATAGTTTTGTAAGCTGTCGGGAATTTTGCGTTTCGAAATACGTTCCGTGTGTCAATTAAAACCTTTTCTGGCCAAAGTAACTTCGATATAGGTAAATGCAGTAATTTAGATCTTTTAAATTATAATGGCTATTTATAATGCGCCTGCTTCCACACACTTGTGCATGCTCAAAGCGCTAACACATTATTACCCCGGATAACCCAGGCTGTCTGTGAGGCGCTAGAAGGTTAATAGTCACATGACTTATCCCACCGGGTACCCATTCAGTACTGGGTGAACAGAGGCAATTCATGAACAAACTCACTTGCCTAAGGTGATACCACATGTGCCACTTGTGCTTCGTTGAGGGGAAGGACTGAAGTCCCAGAAACTATCAGGAGTCAATCTGCCAAACACCCATCAAAGAGCTCTCCGCGACTAACAGTACTTAGCTTATATTGATTTATAATAATAATCATCTTTATTTGCACTAAGAAGGCCACAGGCCTATAGTACATAAAGTTATGTTACATTTGAGAGGAATTTAGATCGGGTCATCATAGCATAGTAAATGAACATTGAAATATTTTGTAGAAGAACTGGATTTTTACTACTTAACAGTGAGGAGAATTTTACCACATTTGGATGGACATAGTAATAACTTTTAATATATTTTGTTCGCAACCGGTCCTCAAATGGACATATTAGGAGAAAATGTAATTCATCTTCTATTTCATTAAAATTACAAAGTGTACATATTCTATTTTCTCTTTTTACATTCATATATCTGCCTCTTTCAATCAACAAATCATGAGAAGAGCATCTGAATCGTGCCAGTGCTATTCTAAACTTTTTAACATTAACACAGGATAGATATGACTCAAGAACTATGGCATTTTTAAACAATGAATAATACATGCATTTATTTGATAAGGATATCCTTTCACACCATGTTTGAATATACATATCTTTTAGTCTTGTCGTTAAGGATTGTATGAATAACGTAGGTGATTCGACATATTGTGTATTCCATGTAATTCCAAAACCAACAGAATATAAAAAGTGTTTTACATTGGTTGCCCAGTTTTTTGGTCCACCTTTATCATATAACAACATCATATTATAACACTTCTTGGGTAAGCGATTTGAAGGCATAATCAACAGTTTTAGACAGTACTTAATAACTTGAATGCTTGTAAGAATGTGCATTGGGTACCTACCGCATTCACCATAAATCACTGCGTTAATAGTGTTAATTTTAACTCCGAGGAAATTTTTGCATGCGTATAAATGGATTTTTTCAATTTCGTCAAATTTTGTTTTTCCCCAAATTTCGGCCCCATATGATAAAATTGGACTGACTTTGGCATCAAATATTTTAAAGAATGAAGAGTAGTTGATATTACCAAGTACACTCAACTGTTTCATAATTCCAATTAATGCTTTTTGTCGCTGTAACGCTGCATATTTTACATTCCTCGTCCATGACAGGCCACTGGTGAAACATAGTCCCAAATATTTATAAAAGCCAATACACACCAGCTGCATACCTTTATAATACCAGTTTTCCTTTTTTGACAATTTGCCTCCATTTTTTAAATACAACAATTTTCGCTTTTTCTCTATTTACAGTTAATTTCCATTTATAGCAGTAACTTTCAAGTTCATTAATTTGATTCTGTAAGCCATTAATCGTGCTTGAGAACAAAACAATGTCATCCGCAAATAGCAATAGGAAAAGATGAACTATACTAGGCACATAAAGAAACTGTGCATACAAAAATTTAAAATCTAAATTTATCAAACCTGTGTAGACACATAAGGATTTAAACTCAGAGATTAGTGACATGTAGCCAACATGCATGCACGTGCCACGTTCCGTGACGTCAGTGGGTTCGTCCTTGAGACGTGCAATACGTTGTTGCACGTGCATTCCAGGAAAGAGAAACAGAGCAAATGAATGCCACACAATACTGTCACTTTGGAAAGCTCAACCCCGGCCCTTGCGATCGTTCGAAAAATTAAACGGCATCGACAAGCTCGCCGAATGTGGTGCCGAAATTATGTCCGCAGACCCTTGTTTTGGAGGAGAAATGTTGTTTTTACAGATGAGTCCAGGTTTAACATTTCCCATAGTGATGGACGTCAACGTGCCTATAGACACGGGGGAGAACATTATGCACAGGCCTGTGTCTTGGAGAGGAATCGCTTTGGTGGTGGTTCCATGATGATTTGGGGTGGAATAACAACACGCCAAAGAACTCCTTTGGTGATTGTTCAGGGCAACTTAACTGGTGTGGGCTACAGGGATCAGATTCTTCGACCTGTGGCAATTCCTTTTCTGCAACGTCATGGCCCTGGGTTAACATTCTAACAGGACAATGCCCGCCCTCATACGGCAAGGGTTGCTATGGATTTCCACAACGTTGACTTACTGCCTTGGCCTGCAAATTCACCGGATCTCTCCCCGATAGAGCATGTTTGGGACGAGATGGATCGACGTCTACGCCGTCTTCCTCATCCGCCAGATAACGTCCTTGACCTTGCAACAGAACTTGAGAGAATCTGGCGTGACATCCCACAAGCCTACCTTGCACGTTTGATAGGCTCTATGCGTCGTCGATGCACTGCTGTTCTCAATGCCGATGGTGGACATACCCGTTATTGAGCTTGTGACATCGTCGTTTGACCCCTGTCCCGCTTGTGGACTCGTGACGTCATTGTGATTGACTATCAGTTGAAATTCTCGCGACTTGTTATGGTCTCATGATCCCTCCATTAAAGTTTATATGTACCTTTGACATTGTTATCGTACTTATCAACTGGGATGCTATTTTGACAATGCACAGTTTATTTATGTGGCTAGTATATATCAGGGTGGAGTTGAATCCCGTGTACACAGTTAGTTTCGATTTGTCGTGCTAACTCATTTATAAAAGAGGAAAATAGAAATGGGCTTAGAATACAGCCTTGTCTAACACCAAGTTGCAAGTCGAATGTTTCTGAATAATTATGATTACTTTTAATACAAGCCTTAACATTTTCATACATATTGCATGAAAGTTTACTCATTTTACCTCTGAGACCGTGGGTATTAAATAGAAGCCAAAGTTTTTTTCGTTGTATTGAATCGAAAGCGTTTGAAAAATCTACAAATAATGCGTAGATTTGTGACCTGGGCTCTATGAACAGGACCGCACACCACCACTTTTCCCATCCAGATACTTCTAAATAAATCCCGTCTGCAATGTTCTTGTTGTTAGGTTTCGATTTCCAAACTGAAACTAGTTACTCCAGAAAGCTATGCGAATTACCCACACGAACAGTTCTTCTTTCAATGGTGCAATATTGCATCTAGTCTGTGTCAAAGTGTCAAATGGAAAATAACAAATAGATTTGATCAAAACAATTTCTTGCAGCAAAACAAACCAAGCACAACGTATATTGCCAAAGGGTTTGCAGAAGTCAGTGCTTGAAGAAGGAGAGATTTCATGAGAATAGCTTGAGAAGCAGCCTGATAGTTACTCTCCCAGACAGTGAGTGTAGTTATATGCCACACTCAGCAATAATCCAGCTCTATGGCGGCAGTCTCTAAATAATTCAGTCGAGACCAGACAATCTTGTGATCAACATCGTGAGCATCTTCTCAATTCGGAAACGGTTTTACGTGTCAACCTAGTCAACGATCCTGGCCATCCGATCCTGTTAGGATCTTCCTACGACAAGCAAGGGTTGCTGAAGACCAATTCTAACCCGGATCTTTCCGGGTCCAGAATATTAAGATATTAGAGCTCAAAAGGGTAAGAAACTAATTTGTTGGATAATAAGCAGAAGGAGAAAACAAAGAAAAAAGGCGATATTCTCCTGCTGCAATAAAGTATGATATTACCAAGACAAACACATGAGACATTCTTGGAATCATAAAGATGTTTCTTCCACATCGTGTTGGCAAATGGAAATGATATTATATCTGCTTGTAAATAGATCAGATCTGAAGCTTGGTGTGCTGAGATGGTAGAGCATGGGTAGTTAAAGAGGTTTGGGTTGATTTTGAAATGTGCATTTTGCAGATAACGATATCGAGTAGAATAACCACTACTCTGACGGCTTTTGTAACACATTGTGAGAATGGCACTATGGGTGGCCGATACAATGAAGATGTCCAGATATTATTGACCTCATGTGCCATAAACAAATATAGAGCGCATTTCAGCCAATCATTGTGATGACACACCGTAGTATTAAGGACCAAACCCCAAAACAATCATGCTGTACGTCGTTAGCGTCCATAAAACGTGAATCAGGACAATTTGTAATTTGTCAAAAATGGACCTCAATTCGTCAGACGATGTCGATTATTCCAATGCTGGCGTAACCTACACCATTCCTCCAATGAAGTAAACGACAAGTGGATGTGGTACGCACAGATACCATTTGTGCAGATGATGTGACGCTGTCTGAAACTGTACAGTTGTAACTGGTCCTATAGTTAGTAGTTTAGCAGTTGTTTTGTGGTGTCTTGACCCCACCGTTCTCAATATTTCAGCAATATCACGGCGGGGATACTGAAATGGGATGTAGACGCTTAAGAA